TAGCAGGTTCTACGTACAACAGCTCTTCAATACAGTACCCTAATTCAACTATAGATTCGATAAAAATGATAATGTAAGCATCGTATAATTTCTTAGTCAAGAATCGACTTTGTCAACCTTTGCATCGTCAAAATATCAATCAGCATTCTACAACGGCTCTATTAATCTGCACTCCTCAGGGGATGCTCATCAGTGCATAAGTGATTGCAACTTCAGCGATGCATAAAGCGATGAGAATAATTAGCTCCAGCTGTATGATGCATTCGATTACGGTAACGAATGTAGCCAGAGTTACTTTAATGACCATTGTGGCTACGGGTCATTTGAGTAAACTGAAATTTGGCAATCAGTAAATGATTCTAGATATATTGAAGCGAAGAAATTTTAAGAATTATTTCATACTACAATTTTCTTGTAGTAGTTCGCACTACTCTAACGAACAGCTTAAAAGGATAGATAGAACGATAATTATAATACGTACCAGTATAGTTGCAAATCCGACGAGCATAGCTTTGAGATTAGGATGCAGATCCATCGGGACTAAGACAAAGTTATTAAGAAAAAATTGGCGTTAAAGGAACTTTTGTATATTTTAATTATGACAGTTTTTAGAAGACATAACACTAGAAATGCCATATTAATGTTTCACTCGATTCTCGTACAATTGACTTCCATATCGCATTGAAATCTTCCCATAGTAGGGAAATATTTCCCCATGCTGCCAATTTCTGTACCACTTTCAGAAATAATCTAGCGTTTAAAATGTGCGGTTATAATCATTAGTATTGAAAATTAATAAATAGTAAAACAGTTTTGAAAATTAAAAAAGACGAGATATAACTGTAGAAATCTAGATGGTCCAATGAGTAGTTCATCCCTAACGTTATTGTGACGAATGTGATGATAATCTTGTCAAGATCTTTGTATTCATACCTGGAAACTTAGAGAGCCTTCCTCCAGAGGAGTTGCATAGCAGTGACCAGGACCGTTGAGTAGTAATTCGATTATGTCGTTTGGAGAGGTTACAACATGCTTAGGACCGCAGGCAGACATCCTGAAATTAATCCGAATATGAGAAATTAAGCATGAAAAAATCTCTGAAACAGTCGCTTAAACCTTTTACTTATGGAAATAGCTTACTCGGTGGTAAAATATCGAAAGAATCACTACTTGTTAGCTATTGGTTAGGTCATTATTCAAGTTTAGTTATAGAACATATGCATGCAGTCTATCGTTTCAGGTGTTAGTTGAATGTCTACAAGTGCTTATAATGACAATTGGGTACATACTGGACTATTTTGCCAATCATTACTTCCGGAGGGGAAGCGATATGTATTTTATAAAAATTAGGATCGAAACAGGCAGCTACTTTACCAGTAGGGACGCGAGACAGTTGTATAACTTTCCTTTCATTGCTATCGTAAAGGCCTATTTCAGCTAAGTTGTAGCCGTTCCACGACATAATATCCATTGTTATTGTATTATCTAAGGAGCAACGCGTAATAAGTCAATTAGAACCAGTTATAGCATATAGTATATAGGTCTTACAAGATACTCAAATGATAACTAGTTATCGTCAGTCAAGTAGACTATCTTAGACTACATGTGTTGCAGGAATTGAAGCTATGTGAACGTTAAAGTTCTCCTATAAGTGTGGTATCTTTCTGACTTACCTTCAACCGCGTAATAGATCAATTGACCAGCGTTATTTTTTACTTGGTATTTGTTTTGGAACGTCGGCATGAATACTATAGTACATAACATGATAGTATTAAGACATACTCGTACGTATACTGAGCCATAATCATTGAAATTGTTTTTAAATGTAAACTAATCGTATTGTCAATCTGTAGCTAACAAAATTGTATAAAGATGCAAGTATTAAAGCTACTTAGAACTTTTGCCAGGCTATTGGAGATTGTAATGATTTAGTTTTAGTTTGATAGTATTTAGAATCATAGCTTCACACTCTACAGTACATCAATTTATTAAAAACATAGGGTAGTTAATCATCATCTCGTACAGTACAGTACGGTGAATTCCTTCTTGAGAAAGAATAGCATACTACGTTTTCGTCATTCTGGATAGATTCTCTTCTAAACCGTCTAATACTATAAATTAACTGCAGTCTTGCTTACAATTCGAAAGTCATAGATCTAATGCTATTTAAGAGTTAAACTAATAGGAATTTTGAGGTCGTGCTTAATGGTAAATCTACTAAAATGGCTTACTATAAATCCTTTTTTGGTTGTCCAAGTACTGTACGATAACAGATAAGGTGATTACTGTTCCGATTATGGATATTTTGATAATGATTCATTAACGGCTTTATGAAAATAGAGTACTTATACTTTTATTTACTCTTTCTATTCGATCACATTCTATTTCTATACTAGTAAGTTATCAAAATTAGTAAACTTACGTTCGGACTTTCCAATGTCGGGACTAATAATCACTTGACTAATCTGGGATAGACGTTCAAGGCCTGTCGGACAATCGTTAGAGACAGTGTTGGGGGCAGGAAGAGGCATCCATGTAAGCTGCTGAGGAATGCTTGATTGAGTAGTAGGATTTGGTCCTCTTACGCCAGCAATTGGTTGTTGAGATATTGGTGGACGTACAGGAATGGCACCTTCAGGCTGCTGTAAAATTGGCGGTGGCAAAGGCGATCGACTGATATCCATTCTTGGCATAGGTGTGGGTACTATCTGCGGCGATTTTTCTTGAAGTGTATTCATACTTGGGCTACTTGGGGTAACTTCTTGTATCTCTTTTTCGGATAAAGGTGGTTGTGCCATAGGTACATTCATCGATTGTTCATCTTTTACCGTATCAGCGTAGCTAGGGGGCTGATTTCCATCATTCGGAAGCGGCCTATTGGCCATTTCTGCCTTAGTATTCTATAATAGGCGTAGGTGCTACTATCTGCCTAAAAGATGATAGATTGATTAAAATAGCAGGTCGATCGGAGCAAAGTCCCAACTCAAGAAGTTTATTTCAATCCAATCTACGAGCTGTATCTCACTTTGAATCAATGATATCTTCACAGATTTACGATTGACTAAAATAACAAGTCGATTAGAGCAAAGTCCCTCTCAAGATATTTATTCCAATCCAATGTACGAACTGTATCTAAAATTGAATCAATGATATCTTCACAGATTTACGATTGACTAAAATAACTGATCAATTGGAGTAAAGTCCCACTCAAGATATTTATTCCAATCCAATTGACTGAAGTTCATATTATCAGTAAACTTGATGCTGTTGATCGCAATTAATCAACTACTGTACCGTTAATTAGTCTGGACTGACCGTTACCAAGTTGTCTTGCTATTTTTCGTCGGGATTCCTGTCAAGTTGATCGACAGTACGGAGTGTTGTGTATCACACTATCGACTGTAGAGTTCATACTAACAAGCGTATTGAAAGTTCATCCTGTTCCACTCTCCAGCAACATACTGTACAGTAGGGTAGAATCCTCTGTTTCTGTAGCTTACTGTATCGTGAGCATGTGGAGAGCACTGTCGAGTACTATACGGTAGGCAATGTGATTATTTTCGATGTCTCCCCTTCGTTCTAAAATCAAAGTTGTATTCCGTTGAAATTCCTATATAATATTTATATATATGGCCGTAGAAGGATATCTACGATGATAGCTTGGGCCTGATTTAGCTTACACAATTATATGTTTTCAGGGTGCCATCGAAAATAATCAGACTAGTGTGTTTATTTTTTCGGATTCCAGATATAGATTTTATTTTTAAAGCAGGACTTTTAATTCTAAGATCAACAAACTCCCATACTACTTCAAGGTTGCATGTATAGTTATACACAGTAGTAGTATTAAGGCCGGTATTGCGCTCACAACCTAAAGTATACTTTGGAGCCAAAAGTTTGAGAACTAGCCAATAACGAGGTATTATTATAAATGCTGATTAGGAACAAACTTGAAAGCTCAAGAATTCATGAAAAACTGGCAAAATTGTTACGAACGTATTATCAATTAGCTATTAGTTCCTAGAAGAATATCGGAAATCTTTCAGATTTAGATCCAGGCATAAACCATATTGAAGGAATAGAACACTAAGCTCATACGATACAATATCGTGAATTTAAGTTGTGACCGCCGCGCAAATACTGCAGAAGACTTTAAGTTGACATAAACTACGAAAAACTATTTAGGTATACTTTATACAGCTATCAAATAAAACAGTATCAGTTTAGTAATCACTATATTTCCATTATTAAGTAAATGCGATACGTTAGAAACAAGTTCGAAACTATTCATCAATACAGATTCAAATGCTCAGAATTTATTTTCCGAATATTACACAAGGTTTTTCAAATCGCACTTATAGTCTGTCGTAAAGCTAATTAGCCCTACATCGTGGCGGATTCTGTCTAAGAAATAGGTAAATACAGTAACAATTACCGAGTCACCAAAATTTTATTCTCACACTAAAGTTTTATGATTGACATCAAATTATAAATACTGTAAGTCGAAAAATTTAGA